AGAGTGTTGGCATAACTTCATCATCATCAGACGAGTGTACTTCCCTCTGGGGATGCGACGCTTTATTAGCGTTTCTAAGAGTCACTCGCTCACTTTTACGCCTTTGAGAGCGTGAAAGTCCAACGGGCTCTTGAACTTCAACTCGCAATCCAATGCGGTCGGTAATAGGGGCTTTCCCTTTGTTATCTTTCTTGGGGGGATTGATACGACCCCCAGCCTGGTTTATCATTTGAGAACCTTTCAGCGGTCCCAATCGCTCCTTGACAGGTGCTTTGCCTCGGTTCTCTGGTAAGGGACCGAGACGATCTTTCAAAGTAATCTTTGATCTGGAAAGATCCACGTTCTTGCCTAACTCCGTAGGAGGTGCGGGAACGTGATCTAGATTTGAAGAAGCTTGGGTGATAACCCCACCCACTTTTGTCTTAGGTGCCGGGTTTGACTTTGGCCTCCACATCTGCTTGTGTTTTGACGGCTTCTTGTCCGTCTCCTCTTTCTGCATCTCTTCTGCTTTCTTCAGAAGGACCCGGGCATGCGCAAGCAAAGCGCGTCGCTTCTTGATTCGCTCCTCAAGCGTGGAGCGATTCCTCTTGACGCGGATCCATTCATTTGCCTCTGCATTAGAAAAGAGGTTAGTTGTCCGGCGTTGTTGCTCTTGGCGCTGTCTGGACTTTAGATCCTCATTATAGCGGATCCCGTCCATCGATTCTGCGGCTTTGGCTAGTTGTTTCGCGAGGCGTTGGCGCCGTCTTTGACGTGCCCTCTTTGATAAAGTTGGAGCACCTCCATCAGTCACCTTCGTGGTGGAGGGGAGATCTGCGACCTCAACCCCTTTGAATGCCGCAGGGATGCCACGGGGCACGGGTGCAGAAGCGGCGATGGGATCTTGGATCTTCAAGTTGGAGATCCCGCGAGCATTTCTGGAAGATGAAATCTTCCTGCGCCTGTTTGGAGAGGCGGATCTGGAGGAGGAGGAAGAGAGGTACTCTTCAAACTTCTGCTGATCGAACTCATATTCGATCTCTTCATTCACCCGGATCTTGAATGCCGGTTGCGTCACTCCGATCTCGGCAGCGAGGTCGGCGGCTCCCACTGTGGTCGCCAGCTTGTTTTCGTCAAAAGTTGCCTTCATCATTGATTTCATTAAACTTCAATCGTTACAAATGAATTCAAATAACAAAGAATAAAAATTACAACTTTTCGAAAATAAACACAAGATCCTGTTTTGCGGTCTCTTGCTTGCGTGGGTCTTTGGCCTGTGACGGGGACGTTGATATCCGTGGACTACCTGGCAATCAGATCTGGTCCGGATCAATCGGACAGAGCTTCGTCAATCCGCGAGGGGATCTAGGAACTTCTGATCCAGAAAAATCGGACAGAGCTTCGTCGATCCGCGAGAGATCTAGAAGCTTTGAAGCGTCTATCTCGGCTAAAGCGAGATATTAGCTCTTCTTAGTATTAACGCCAAGGGCTAATACTAAGGAACGGACACACGGGTGATGAAGATCTGATGAAGAATTCCCCTGAAGTGCTCGATCACTCTTCACTGCAGCAGGGCTTCGCCTCTTTCTCTCCAAAATTCCAGATCCTTTAAAATGAGGTAAGGGGTGGCTATTTATAGCCATAGGGAGTACCTAGGGGGCCTAGACACCCCTGGGGTGTCTCCACAGATCCGAGACACCCCTGGGGTGTCTCCACAGATCCGAGACACCCCTAGGGTGTCTCGGAATTTCCGAGACACCCTAGGGTGTCTCGGAATTTCCGAGACACCCCTGGGGTGTCTCGGAATTTCTGAGACACCCCTGGGGGTGTTTTGGAACTGCTGAGACGCGTTGAGGTATATTCGATTGTCTTCGCCGTAAATTCTTCGTCCGAACTCGGATTTGAGTGATTCCAAGTGCGTTGGATGCTTGACGAAGAGAAATTCTTCGTCCGAACTCGGATTTGAGTGATTCCAAGTGCGTTGGATGCTTGACGAAGAGTTTGATCCACTCTGGTGGTTGGATTATCTGTAGAGTGATCGAGGCATGAGGGGCATTGTCCTTTTTGTGAACATCACCGGGTTCCTGATTGGCCCGGGTCTTCGTTGTTCCGAAATCCTATCAGCTTACGTAGCTCGTCGATTCACTTCAATCGTTCGTCGACGTCAATTGGACTCCTGTGGATCGGATAGTGACGTTCATCGTCGCTCTTTAACACTAAGCCGTTCGTGGAGACCTATAGGCAATTTTTGATGCCTACATTCTTTTCTGCCAAAACCCATGGCCGAAGGACCCGAACTCCGTTGAGTTTACCCATATTTATAGAGGATTAAGGGGTGTAACCGCTCCCTTAGTTCTCTCCATAATGAGGTTGAATGGGGTGTAACCGACTCCCTTAATCCGCTCCTAAGTGAGGCGGAAATCCCTCTAAATGTGGGGAGGGGGGGGGGGGAATGGGGGGGGGGGGGGGGGACAGTTCTTGAAAACGTTCAGCTCGTGTTTGAACGAGTCAAACGTCGAAAATAGCATTCTGGGCCCGAACTCTGCGTTTTAGACTTAAAACGCAGGGTATGGCCTATTTTTGGCTGAAAATGTCGTGTTCGCACAGCGTTGTAAATCTAAAATGCATAGTTGGGACGCAGAGATGAACTCCCCGTTTTGAGTTCACGAACTCTGTGTTTTTAATTGGAGCGCTGGGGATGACCTCTGCGTTTTGACTCTAAAACACAGGCACGACCTCTGCGTTTTGATGTTGTAACAAAGAGATAACCTCTGTGTTTTGATGGTGTAATGCAAGGATGACCTCTGCGTTTTGATGTGAAGAGACCATCAATTTATGGTCTCTTTTGCTGGAGCGTTGCAAAGACCGTCATCTTGTAATATTCGTCTTGGTTCCTTGAAAATATGAGAGTCGTCAGATTGTAACTCCCGATGTTGATTGTGAAGGTTATTGAACTAGAGCTTTCATCGGTTATTGTGAAGGTCGTTAGATTATAACCTTCATCGATCTACGTGAAAATCTTTAAATTATAGTTTTCTGCAAGTCGTCAGATTGTAACTTCCATCATCGGTGTTTGATGGGGGATCAACTATCTGTAGTGATTTTTAGACAACCTACAAGGTATAAAAGTAAAGACAAGCTCTTGAATCTAAAGGTTTTAGAATTTGTACAAAAATAAAATATATGGAGTGTATTTTTAGTAAAATTAAGAAAAGAAAGAACTTATAGTATATACTTATGGTAAAGAAATATCTAAAAGTAAGCATTTTCGCTATTTAAGATCAATCATTATGCATGATGGTGAGATTCAGGATGATGTTGTTCATCAAGTTAAATCGAGATGGTTGAAACGGAGGACCATTTTGGGAGTCTTATGTGATCGTATAATACCAATGAAACTAAAATAAAATTTTTTATAGGATAGTTATAAGACTAAGAGTGCTTAATGGCTCGGGGTGTTATACAGAGGCAATTGCTAATACCTTTTGGGAGAAATCGGATTGTGCGAAGCTTGGGTGACCCAAAAAAGGAGGATGATTTTCAGCTTATTTCAACGTACAACTTCAACTGATCATAACTTTTGATTCCCTCCATTGAATCACTATTATTATATATTTTTGAAAAGATTAGGAAATTCTCTACAAGTCTAACCCCTTCACTGTTCCAATCGAGTTTCGGAGTCAAAGAAAATCGTCTTTAGACTCAAAATGCATGTCGAAGAGTTTTGGTCAAATCTAGTTTCTAGTTCTTATGAAACATTTTTATTTATAGGAGTCTAATTGATTAGGAAGGGTTATTTTTGTACTTTTACTTTGTTTTATATCTTATATAAGGGAAACAAAATTTTAAACTCTTTAGGTTGGTTATTATTATTTTCAAAAGTTTTCTATTCCTAGGATTTTCTAGGATTTGTGTCATTTTGCTCGAATGAGACGAGTAGTTACC